TGCTCAGTCACATGAAATCCTTTAATAGGCAGTCTTCAGGCTCAGGGTATGACAGGAAGGTTACATTTCCATCCCATAGATTTTAAAATTTAAGGTTATATGCAGTGAAAAAGGGATGTGAGAAGAGGAATGAGCATTAATCAGTTTTAAAATATAATTTAATCAAATTCTAAATGCTTTTGCACACTAGTTGATCTGCAGATAATATAATATTCCCTTTCTACACCTTCACACATACAGGGTCACTGCTAGAAGGTTTAAACTGCAATTTTCCATGTACTATATCAGCATTCTTATTTCAGCCAGCTAATTATCAAGGGTTGATGGGTTTGACCAAGTACTTCCAGCCTTTTGTTACTGATGTTATTAGAAATGCCACCTGTTGGGTGCTCAGGAGTTGATTTATCCTGTAGTTGTAATTTACTGTTGAGCATTGTTTAAATTTTGGTTTTCTCTTTTGAAATGTGTCATTAATATTTCCACCCCTCATTCCTTAATCATGCTTCTGGCAGCTAGCTGGGACTGCTAGGGAGCAGTTCACACCTCTGGAGATGCCACTTGAGAGATAACACCACTCTCGGGTCAAAGATGGAACAGTCTGTGCCTTCTTTCTCAATTTTTGTGTTCCTATTCAGTGTAAAAAGCACAAACCTCTCAGAATGCCTTTTCTGGTGCTGAGGACAAAAGGAAAGCACTGAGGTGGTGCAAGACAAAATCCAGATGTGTCACACACTCCTGCAGCTGTCACTCAGCCTGCCTCGCTGCTGCTGGGCCCTTTCTTTAAAGGGTTAATCAGGGGCTCAGTGATGCAGAGGCAGCCACTGCAGGAGCCTTCAGGAGACTGAGCTGCTAAATCACCCCAGAGCTGGACAAAGGGAATTGCTCTTATTTAGGACAGCTCCAGGAATAGAAGCTGCCTCTCAGTCTGGGGCTGAGTTGGTCTGAAATGAGGCAGAGATGCCCCATGGGAGCTGAGAGGACCCTGTGGCCTCTGTGCTTCCTCTGTGGTGCTTTTTTGGCAGCCCAGAGCAGCCAGCAAGGCTGGCTGAACTCTGCTGAGACAGCCCTGACAGATGTGAGTGCTGTACAGGGCAGGGAAACACTCAGCTGCATTCATCTGCAGAGTCACAGTGCATCCCTTTGAAACACTGGACTGGGAGAACTTTCCCTGGGCCATATGCAGCTGATGATAGGCTTTTATGAGCACTGCCCCGAGGAAAATAAGTTTGCAAGCAGGTCAATGCTTGTTAGCATTTTAAAAATTCTTTGCTTTCGCTTTGTGCAACAATATTTTTGATTGTGTAACAGTATTTCGAAATATAGCACTCGTGTTTTGAGTACAAGCTGAAAGATGTAAACTGTTGTTTTTTTATGTGCTGATTTTTATTTTTATTTGCTGATATCTAAGGTTTCTGAAAGAATCTTATGCTGCCAGAAAAATCCTGACATGCATCAGTCACTAGACTTCCTCCCTAACCATGCACCTGTTCCTGGATTTGGAATCTCCAGACCTGCTATTCCCTTAAATTTATTTGTATTCTTCAAAGGACTTAAAATTCCTATGGCACTGCTCTTCATTTATTCTTTGCCCACATTTTGAAGATTTTAACTTGTTAATAAATAGGTATTAAGTCCCATTTCTATTTCCTTTTCATTCCTCCTGCCTAGGCTGCAAACTGTTTTTCAAGATCCTCATTTGCTATTTTCAGTCACTGCTGACAGGTTGCTGCTTACCTTGCCAACATGGTGTGGCAAAGGTGTATCAATCTCTTCTTTGATGTGCATTTGGTTCCATATCCAGTCTCTCTTCTGGCGTTTGTGGCTGACATCATTTGAACAAAGATTTTGGGTTGATTTCTGACTTCCTGGGTCAGCAAATGCTGGGACCAAGAACAACGAGAAAAGTAGAATATGGTGGCTCATCTTCTTCTGTAGCCTAGAAAGTGATAGAGACATGCAAAAATATAAATAACAACAGAATCAGATTCAGCAGAGGCAGCGCACATGGAAGTGCAAATGGATATTCCTTCTGTAGGGGAGTTTGATCACTTTGTTTCTGTTCATTTGCCTCAGCATCAAAATTTGAAGGCTTCTTCCTTCTATGAAATAGTTTTAGCTGGATTAAAACTGTAAAAAACAACGAACAAAGTATTTCAATTAAATAAAAAATGAGCTTTGAATGCTGGTGTGAGAGCCAGCATCCCCCTGAGTGACTGCCATTGCTCTGAGGAGCACATTCAGAGCCCAGGTCCCCGTTGTGCCCCGGGCCAGGGCAGCCTGGCTCCATGGCTGAGCTTGAGTTAACTCCACTTGAAATGAAATGATCAGGCCTGACAAACCCAAATGCAGTGTTTTGAAATGCTCTGACACAAAATACGCTGTAGTCAATATCTTCCTATGGAAAAGATTGATTTAGAATAAAATCTGGGGGTTTTTTTGGTGGAAAACATTATTAGTGTGAAATTTTCAATCAATTCCAAGTACAATACAGCAAATTATCTTTCTTTAAGGGCTCATCTATTGATTCAACTCCTTGTCTTCTGAAACTTTTGGAGACTCACATAAAGTTCCTTTATCCCCTATTTCCAGACTTTAACATCTACAAAATGATAATTTTGAATGAAATTATTTTCAGTTGAAACTATATTTTTGCATCCTGTGTTAATATTAGCAAACTTTAGGCCTAACTTTAATATCAGAGGAGTTATTTTAATGTTATCAAAGCTGATTCATTTTCTTCCTAAATTTCCCATTCCTAATATAAAGGACTGTCAGGGAACTTTAACACTCAAGTAATCAGACTTTAAATTGCACATAAATGACTTTCCATTAGCTTTTAGGAGCTGTCAGCATGCATATCAAAAATAAACCTGCTAATTGTGATGAGAAGTTGACATCACACGGGCTGCTGGATGCAAGATTAAATTAATATTTTCATCAGGAAGGTGCTGAGACGTTTCCAAAATTACTCTTTGGTAACCAGGCAATCAGTGTTATCCCATGGTGCAGCATCAGTGTCAGTAAAAAAAGATTTTATTTACCATGAAATGTTGCTTTGCTGTACTATTCTCTCTCTCTCACATTGTTGTACATAACCTGAGGAATGTTCCTCCTTTGTGGCTGGGTAGGAAGTGAATAAGGTGCCTTTGAATGTGCTTTTTGATAGATAAGCTGTGTTTGATACAGTTTTCTAGATTCAAACAAAGCTTTTTGATTTAGCTAGTTTTTTCTATTCTGTGCCCTAAGCTTGACTTTGAATATTTTTAGAAAAAATGAGTATAATTTAGTTGTTTTTCTATAATTTATTTGTGTAGATGAACATTTTACAACTGGAAACTGGAAGGCAGTGATATGATTCTGCTGTGATTGCCTAAGTCTGACTTTTATCCGTACAGCTACAAAACACAATAACCAAAGGAAGCCACTGGACAATGCCAACTAGCACAGAGTGTGGTTTTGCCAAAGAGCAGACTGAAGTGGTCAAAGAGCCTTTTTCTCTGGTTCCTGTGCTGAGTGGAGCTCTCCTGTAGTGCTGGTTTTAAAACAGAAAGTGCCGACTGAATCTATTTACATACATGTGCTTTTCAGCTGAAATTTAGCTACCTCTTTCCCTCAGCATGTTTGTAGATTTTAAGGAGGCTTCAGTTCCTTTAACTCCTGATCAATGGATTCCTGTTCATATTTGTCCAACCTCCCTGGGCAGTGGAGGGTTCCTTTGGCAGTAGTTTGGAGGTCCTTGGCTGCCCTCTGGCACTGCAGCTCAAACACAGATGGAGGTGGGAGAACCTCTTGCAGAAGTTGATTTCTGCTTCACCTTTGGCAACTTTCAAGCTGCTCATTTTTGGAAAATGACAGTGCACTCTGGAGCTCTTTCCTTGCTCTTCTCCAGGGACATGGGAGTGCCTTGCTCAGTAGGGCAGGCTGACCCTGAGGACACTTTCCCCAGGGCAGGCTGACTCTGGGGACACTTTCCCCAGGATAGGCTGACCCTGAGGACACTTTCCCCAGGGCGCCATGCTCGTTTTCCACGTGGCAACCTTTGCTGTTGTCACTGAAGTCCTCAGGATGCCCAGGAATGCCCTTCCCTGGCAGCACACACAGCAGGGCCTGTGAGCAGTGCTGGCAGGGGCTCAGTCCTGGTGGGAAGGCCACTTTCCCTGGGTGCCAGCTCCTGACAAGCTGTACTAAATGCTCTTTTCTGGCCACGACAATTTCCTTCCCAGCAGCTCTCACCCAAAGTGCCAGAGGCAGCAGCAGAAGGGGACATTGCCATCCTGAGCATTCCCACAGAACCAGGAGCAAGAACGTTTCTGAGGGATAACAGGGGTCATTCACAGGTAGGATCAGCTTTTCCCTTTTTTCCTCTAGGGATCAGCTTTTCCTTTCTTCTGTGTCTGCTGGGCAGGCAGGACTGAGGGATGGGAATCAGGTGCATCCCTTCAAGCAAGGACCCCCAGCTTCCAGCGTGGTGGGAATGCAGCCACGAGTCCTGCCCTGCTCTGGCCTCACACAGCCCCCTTGTCCCTCTGTCCCTGGCTGATTAGCCCAACAGCTCCAGCTTCTTTAGTCTAATCAGGGACCATACATGTTCCTGAAAGTTAGCAGGGAATGCTTTATTCAAGCAGCTGAGTCTTATTGCTTTGCTCTTAAATTTTCTTCCAGCAAATGATGGGTTCTCTCACCCTTATTATTCATTTTATGCGTTGAATTATTTTAGCAAATAACTCTTGGTCTGCAGGGTACTATAGACAGTTAACTGAGAAATTCTGGTATTCAAAGTGATTTGTGTGACACATGACTCATATAGTGCAGTTTCTTCTTCCAGACTGGGAGTAATTATTAAAAAATGTCGGGTGGAGATACAGACAATACTGTACTAACTAAAAGTTTGCATTTTACAGGTTGTTTTGGCAAGTAATCAACTGTAAAGGTGATGAACAGCTGATATAAATACAGTCTCCAGGTAATGAAACCATTGGATGAAATATTCTTATGAACATTTGTGGTTTGCTTTTTTTTTTTCTAGTATTTGCCTCTCATCTAGTTTACTTCTATCTCTAAACGTGTGTTTTAATCCTTATGCAAGGTTAGTTTAGCTGGCAAAGAAATTTGTTCTATGCTTGTATATTAAACAAAGATTAAACCAGGCTTCTGTATAACAGGGATTTTAGGACATGAGGGACAGTTGCCTCTGAAATTATTTATTTTCCTGGTCAATCATACTAAAACCTTATGCTTATCTTTGAGAATTTTTCAGCATCCAAAACCCCAAACGGATAATGGTAGAGTGGTGATAATGAACATCTTGAGAGAGAAATTTGCTAGAAGTGGCTGTCATACACAAGAATATGAACACATTTTAAAAGGGTCATGTCCCTGTTGTTGAGATAATTTGCATAACTGATTGTGAGAAAGGCTGGAAATGAAAGATTATTTTCTCTTACTGGAATCTGAATGATTCCAGTAAGAATCTAAATGATTCATCTAAATGAAAATTAAAAACCCCATAAAAAAATTTAGTTTTTCTTGGAGCAAATAGCACTGAAAAATTATTTTTCAGATGGAAAAAAAAATACTCTGATACACTATCTAAGCATCTCCAAAATTGCTGTGCTCAATGAAACCAGGGCAGATACAGAGAGAAGAATCTGACCTGGTCTTGGGGAGCAGAATGCCTCTGAACAGTCTGGCCATACAGAATCCATTTTAACATTAATTTCTCATCTATAGGATGGGTAAGACCACAAGTAAATGTGTGAATGCAGCAAGCCCTAAGGAGCAGAAAGTTAACCAAACACAGGAGGGGATAAATTATATTTTTCCTTTGCAGTGCTGTAGTTTTGTGAGCAGGCAGAACATTATTAAAAGAAAATAGCCTTAGCAATACTTAATGCTGCCTTTCAGGGGCCATAGAGGGCTGTGCAAACCTGGGCTGATAAAGCTCCTCGTGTCTCTGACAGCCCTGCAGGCAGATAAAAAGCATTATCTGTTCCAAAAGGGGCACTGGAGCACACAGAGGACTGGGATGTGTCTGTGGTGCCCTGGCAGGGACCAGGGCCAGGAGTGACAATGCTCTCAGGCTCTGCTGTCCCCGTTCCCTCAGCTCAGAACTGCTGCCCATGGCTGTGCCCAGCTCCCAGAGGAGCAGTGGGACGTGTCCCCTCTGTGTCCCCTCTGTGTCCCTGCTGTGTCCCCAAGGTCCCCAGTGTGTCCCCACTGTGTTGTTACCTCTGCTCCTGTTCCCTCCGTGCTCCTGCTGCTGCTGGGGCTCCCGTGGGACGGGAGCTGAGGTGACAACAGGAACTGGGGTGACAACAGGAACTGGGGAGGTCCTCAAACCCCAGTGACACTGAGAACAGCTGCCTAAGGAAATCGTGTAATTTTGACTCAGAGGATTTTTTTTTTAAATTTTTTTTTTTATTTTTGGGTGTACCGTGTGGCAGGGCAGAACTCAGTGTTTCTGTGTCTGTCACATGTCCCAGCCAGGCACAGCAGTGCTCTTTCCTGAGAACACTCTGCTGCTTGCTCCTTTCCAGGTTGTTGAGCTGGTTTCAGCAGGCCTCGTGCCTGACTACCTGGGGCTGGAGTTTTGATTGTCCTTGTGTCGATTTTATGCATGTGAGAAGTGATTTCCACTGATGACTAAACAGTCTGGAGTGCAAATGCCTGCCTGGAACTGGTTCTAAAATGTCATTTTGTATGCAGTGATGGTACTTTGAAGTAAATAGCCACTGTGATGACTAAACAATCTGGAGTGCAAATGCCTACCTGAAAACTGATTGGAAAATGACATTTTCTGCTTGGGATAGTACCTTGGAATGAACAGGCACTTGAGCAATATCTTAAGCAAACTTGCTGCTTTAAAAATCTCAGTGTGGTGAGAGCACTCGTGCTGCACTTGGTGCTGCTCAGTTCTTGTTGTCTTGGTTGCTGCAGCAGTGTATAAACACAGGTGGGAGCATAATTCAACACTTCTCATTTGAGCTCCTCATATTTTCCTTCCAGGGAAAAGGAGAATTAATTCTAATCTGAAATCGCTTTGTGATTTGAGCTTCAAGTTTCTGGTAGGCATGGGGAAATTTACTGATTATTATTTTCCTGCCTATTCAGCTCACCAGATAGTTTCTCCTGGATGATGCAAAATACAACTTCACCTCATGGGTGGATGGAGTCCTCAGCTAAGACAGATTTCTCTTTGGGAAATGAAGAAATTTGACTTTAAAGGACCTGTAAATGCTTGCTTTGTATACATTAAATGTTTATTGCCTTGGTGGAAAGCAGGCAGCCAAATTGTGCTCCAAGTCTTTATGTTATTTCAGATACAGAACTGGGAAGAAAATGAGGGAAGCAAGACCTCGTTTGGTGTTTTTTTTTCAATTTTTTTCCCCTTATTTTTATCACCCTTAAAAAAAATTTTTTCTTTTCTTTTTCTTTTCAAAGATGCAAAGCCATTCTCCAAGTTAGTGAGTGACAGCCTGTGCCCTAAAGATGTGAGCAGCCAAAATGGATCTACCCAGGACTCCTCCCAGACATCCTGACAGCCCTGCTTGCATTTTAGTGAGTGACCTGCTGGTTTAAAGTGCTGCAGTGAATCCTGAGAGAAGGCAGAGGAAGAGCTGAAAATCAGAAATGTATGGTCCAGGAAGATTTTGGTTGTAAGCAGAAAGAGTGAGGAAGGAAGATTCCTTTTGTTCCTTGCTGATAAATCTGACTGAGTTGAGAGGGTCCTGTCAGACAGTGAAGCACCAAGGCCCAAAATCTCAAAGGTGGAAGGATTTTTAACCTCTGCTGGTTTCTCTCAATTTCTAGTTAACCTTCTCTTAATATGCATTTTCTAAAAACTTTTACAAGCATATTTGCAGTTTAGAGGGTGCTATCTATGCTCCTGCCTGATTTGTATCTGATAAAGAATGGATACATTTATTTATTGAATGTGTGTTTCTGGTGTAGGTTCAGATTCAATTTCCTGTTCACAAATACACATTTGCTTGGCTTAGATCTTGATTTCCCTTTGCATAACACCTGCACAGCTCAGAAATTGGCTTCTGTTAGAATTCAAGAAAACCTCAAAGAATCTCTGTTCCTGGGAATATTTGAGCAAGAAGGGATGACAGATTGTGCCTGGTGGTCTTGTATTGTTTTGATATCTGTAGCCTTTTGTGGACAGTGTTAATTTAAATATGTCTGGGGATATGAAACTCTTCTGTTTGTGGAAATGAATGCCTTACATGATCTAATACAAGAAGACATGGAGAGTCTGTACAAAAGTATGCAACTTCCACATAGGTCAAGAAAATCTAGGACTTATTTTTCTGTGTCGTGTCAAAAATCTTACTCAGGAAAATGAGCCACCCCAGAGGGGCTGCTCCTTCGGGTCCTATGCACAAGCTTTGATTCCTATTCTCATTTTTAATAAAATAATTTTCCTGTCAATCTGTAGTAATCTGGTTTTTATCTTAGTTTCTTTCTTGTAAATCTGGTAATTGAGAAGCAAATTAAATATATGTTAATGTTTCAGTTACTGGGTTCATGGACTTTAAGGAAGGACTATTTTTGGACTAGCTAAATTAATAATTCTTGAATGACTTCTGTTGAAATGACAGTGCACTCTGGAACTGAGGGTTGTTTGCTGTAGATGACAGATGTGATGGAGGTAAAACAATGCTTTGGAGTCATTAAAATGAGCAGTGACAGTATGACAATCCTTCTCATCAGATTGGTGAGGCAGCTAATTGTTGTTTTAAGGGTTGACTCTTTTTCTGTGACCATCCTGGTACATCCAGCAAGAAATCCCATCTGGGTAAATCTGCTGACGTGTCCAGAAGAGAAAGAGAGGTGAAGGTGTGTCAGAGCCCCTCACACACCACAGTCTGAGTGGGTCTTTCATTCCTCCTCATTCCCCACTCTCAGCAGGCAGCTCTGTCTCCTGCCAGGTGCAGAATCCCTGGCTTTGCTCATTGTTCATGGTCATGTTGGTTGTCACCACAGAAGCTGTAGAGACACTTGAGAGCTGATAAAAACCAGTTTGGAACGGGACAGGTACAAAGTATGAAGCACTGAAATATTCTGGTGCTGCTTGAGGCTTCTGACTCTCCTATAGTCACATAATGCCTTACTTTCCCTGAAGTATTCCCAAAATGGATCCAAGTTCTTTAAATAAGTGGTGTTGTCCAGTCTTGCCATGCATAAAGCCTTTCACTTCATGTACAAATATGTCAGTCCAAAATACAACAAGGGGTAAAATGTTTATACAGTGCCCAGTATAAACACAGCTGCTGAAATATTTGTGATTAAATTATTAAACTAATTTTGGATTTTATTTCATAGCAAATGCAAATATCATCATAAACAGAAAATTTTGGCTTTCCCTTAGTTGTTGACAGCATTAATCCCATGGAGTTTAAGGTCCCAACCTCCTCTGCTTTAGCTTTTTACAGCCTCTGCTCCCTTGGATCTGGTTTGTGAGGGCTGATTGAGGAGCAGGGGTGTTCTGGGGTTTAGGGAATGTGCTCAAGCCCACAGGCAGAGTTTGGAGGTTGGCACAGAATAGTCTCACCTCATCATTACTGTCACATAGATTTTGTGCTCTCTGCTTTAGAGCATTCCATTTATTACAATCAGAAATCCCACAATACCTATGACTGGTATGATTTATTTACTTGGCATATGTTGCAGGGGTGAAACAAACAATCAAATGACAGAAAATTTGCTCTTGGCCACATATCTTGTGGTGACAGTTGTCAAGTGCTTTTGAAGCCAGAGCCACTGTGGGGGTTAACTCTGGGTTAAGTGCAGCCTTTCTGCTCTGAAGTGAGCTGATAAGATGGGTGGGATCATCCTGCACACATAGTTTGGAACTGCAGACATTTCCCCCCCTGAATTCCTTGTCCAAGATAAAGAGGAATATATCTCCCATCTGGATTAATTATTGATGAAGACAGATGTTGAAAACAGTGATGAAGTGCCAGTGTTGCAGACAGGCAAAGAACTTATTCCCTTCCTTGCATCCAAAAGCAGATTCCAGGGATGATCAGGTGTACTGGTGTACAGCCTGGGCAGGGGCTGTCTCTCAGTCTCAGTGACATATTTGCCTGCCTGTAGATCCAGCTTTTTTTCTTGCTTCCTCTGAGCTAATTTCCTCTTGCTCATCCCAAACTGAGGTGGCTCAGTGGGACAGAAAGAGGTGCAGGAGTCTCCCTGAGCCCCCCTCATGCCCAGCACCCCCCACTCCAATGCTGTCTGATTTTGGGGGAGCAGGAGGACAAGAGAATCCTCCAGAAATTATTTGCTCATTTCGGAGCAGAAGTCGAATAGTTTGGGCATCTTGGAGGTGTTTGTGATCACTGAAAAGATTTCTCCAGCCTCTCTGACCAGGAGCTTTGCTCCCTACAATGAATGGAGTGCACCTTTCAGACTGGGTCTGTTTTGATGCTCCCCCTGATTAGCTCAGCTCTACAGAGCTTGGCTGAAGCTGCCACTGGGTGTTCCAGAGTTTGGCCAAACTGAAAGAATACAAGGTACATATAAGAATAATGTATTGAAGAGCTTTCTCCACTTCCCCTTTGCTTCCACATAAATCCTTAATATCAGAGAGGCCTCCTAGCACAGAGCTCCAGCTGAGCCCCCCTCATTAAAGAGAAGTCCCTCTCCTTTGAGGAACCACTAGCAATAAATATGATGTTTTAAAAAGTACAATGTAGCTGTTTTTGCAGCAGGTAAGATTTTTTTTTCCTCCATGTTTTTCTTTAACAGGAGCAAAAGTACCTGTGTGGCACACGAGCATCATGCCCAGGTCACTATAACTGATATTTACTGCCCTGGCACTAATCTGCAGCAGAGAAACCCTGCTCAGCTGCCTGTGTGTGCTCATTCCTTTGTCCAGAGTGTTCTCTGGGGTAGCTGAATGCATTAGTATTTCCTCTGAAAATTAAAGTTGTGGCAGATAAAGAAAGCATGCACATATACATAAATCTCTTGTTTTCTGTCTGGGCAAGAGGCTAAAAAAAGCAGGGTGTGTCTGGATAGATTTTGTTTAGTGTTCTGTATTTTTCTCCCTTTTTAGAATGTTTCATTCAAATGTCAGTTCATTCTTCTCTATTTCCTGCCCTTATCCAGCAGACTTGTAGACCAGACTTAATTAACTTTAAGACCTTTTATGTCCATCCCTATAGTTACAGTCCTTTCCTGGAACACTTCCATTGTATTATCTCCATGTGTTGTGAGATGATGCAAATGATATTATTACTGTTCTTGTGAATTTACAATGAGTCTTCCAATAGTTTTAGTTACAGCTTAGCTCTCGTCAGGAAAATTCAATATTTAAATCAAAATAAAACTGGGGCAGCAAATTTCCTCTTTAACGTGCAGAAAGGAAAGCTGGAGAGCGTGAAAATACAGGCCCCAGACACAGGGAAGCATAAAAAGATGAGGAAAGCTGTTGTAAGTTGTGTGATTCTTCTGTGTGGATTTGTTTCTATGTGGGAGTGGTCATGATTTAACAGAGATTTATCTTAAGCTGAGGTGGAACTTTTTTCCTCTTCAGAGGCTGTGTAAGTGGAACATTTATCTCTGCCACAGCTCATGTTCTAATCACAGCCACTGAAAAGCCCTTCTGGAGTGAATAAACCCTTTTTCTTTAGCTGAAGAAGCTCCAGGACAGTCCATATTTGGCAGGTGATGCAGCTCATCACTTCACAGCAGGGAAATGAGAAAATACATTCCACAGAGAAATGTGTCCCTTTTTTCCTGTTTGGGACTGTAGTCATGTCCAAGTGCAACTCAGTAATTCAGTATCTGCCCTAATCCTAATCTTTTACCAAAGCTGCTGCTGGCAAGCCCAGGCTACAAAGCAAAGGTGTTTGTGAAATGGTGCTACAGACGATGGGGCTCTGTGATAGTTCTGTCCCTGTGGAGTTCACATTTATGTCTTTGTAAAATGAACCCACTGCAAAAAGGGTTCATTTTACAAAGAAAGCTCTCCTGCTTTCTGCCCTCCCTTCTTCATTTGTGTGCTGGGTAAGTGTCTGGAGTGCCCTGACCATCTGAATGATACTAAAATGTGCCATCGTTTATGCTTTAATGAGAGCCTAAACCCCTAAACAAACAGCCAATATACACAAATTCATTGTAGCTTTGGGTTCTGAGAGGGGGTGTTGAAAACTCTGATACATTATTATTAATACTGATTGCTTGGCCTAATCCTAACAGAATCACAGAATTGTTGAAGTTGGAAAAGGCCTTTAAGCTCATCAAGTCATGAGTAAACTGATTCTCTTGCAGACAGATCATTAATATCTGAAAGAGAATGACAGCAAAAGCCAGAAAGAGAATGCAAATCCCTTCTGAATTCAGGTCTAGGGCTGGAGGTAGAGGCAGGGACTATCCCACAACAGAACGGAGAAGCCAACTAAAGCTCTTTGCAAGGGGGGTTCTGCTGATGGAGCTGAGCCCACCACAGCAGCCATTCCCATCAATGGCAGGATTTCCTATCATTGGCAGGACAGCAGCACCAGCCCTTGGTCTCCTCAAGCAAACACTGGAAGGCAGGCTTTGTGCTCCTGGAGGATTCCCAGGACACAGATTCACAGCAGACAGCCTCACTAAAGGAAGGGGAAAAGGAAGACTGCTGCTACCAGAGCATGCCTTAGAAAGGTGGACAAAGGCAGGAGAAGGAATTTGGTGGAAGTGGAATTTCCCTTCCCACTGTCATGCACAATGAGGCCAAGGGCCCCGTGTGCTGCATGAGCCCACCTTGTCCCTGCTGAGCTCTGCCAGGTGTCAGGAGCACCCTGCCAGGCTGGGAGGGACGGGGATGCAGGGAAATGGACTCAGGCAGAGGTGTCACGGCTGGTCTGTGGCTTGGAAAGAGATGTGTGACACAAACAGGCCTCTGCTGCCTCAAGCTGTGGCAGAGGATGCTGGGGAAAGTGGACAGGAACAGAAGGGGACAACTGGGACAATAAAAGTGGCCTCTTTGGGTTTCGAAAATGAGGAACTGAAAACATTTTTGCCTTTTTGTCTACCTCTAACTACGATGGTGCTCTGTAAGTCCTAGCATTTCAGGTAGCAATGTTGGGGCAGAAGAACACTCTTCTCTCTGCTGCTCTTTGGGAGGGTACCTGCGACATTTCCCTAGTTTGTGCCAGTAACCATGCTGGCCTCTCTCTAAAGTATCTGTAATTTTTCACTATAACTTCTGGACTTTTGTGGCTAATACTTGATAAAGCTTTCAAATGCAGCTGCTAATCTATTATAAGAGCTTTGCTGTCTGTCTCATGCAAAAATACTTGTCTGGAGAAAAGTCTTCCAGAGTGTCTTTTCAGCTCTTGACTCCTGGTCTATTCTCAGAGCACCAAGACTGAAGTGTAGGCAGTGCCATGGAGGGATAGGTTGCCTTGTGCATTTCTCCTGTCTTTGGCATCCCTGGAAATCCC